CACCTAGGTTTCTTGCAGGGGTGGTTCTGGGGGGTTTGTGAGAGGTTGTTTTGAGGTGAAGGAAGATGTATCGTATCTTTCGTACGGATGAGAAGGTTGCCAAGGTTGGGGGGTTGTCGGAGAGCGATTAAAGGGGGCTGAGGGAAGCACTTCATCATCTTGTCAGATTTTTCTAAGATGTCATCATCATCATCATCATCATCAATATCATCATCATTACCATCATCATCACCATAATCATCATCATTACAACAAAAACTTTAAATTCTTAAAAACAAAACAATACCAACAACAGCAGCAAGGTCAATATCAGTAACAGCAGTGGTTGCAACAATAAAACAACTCCAACTACAAAAGAACGATCCTTACGATTCAGATCTGATCACAATAGCAATAAAGACAACAAACATCAGAAAAACAGCAGAAGAAACAACAAATTTAATAACAAGAAATGCAACAACAACGCTACCACTTTTACATCGCTAGTCAACTAGTGTATAAAAAAAGATACAAACAATACAATGTGAAAAAGCAATCAACCAACCAATAACTGGACTAATCTTAAAGGATCGACAACACTAACAAAAGCTTAAAAAATCACACTAGCTTCCGGTTTTTTTAGTGGTCAGGATCTTCGCCGTCATACACAGAAAAACCGAGTTCCGTTCCCCTATGAGGATCGTCTTTATCTATATAGCATCTCCATCTTTTTGTCTGGACGTGTATCCCTCACAGCCCAGATAGGCTCTGACAGGCAGAGTCGAAGCCTACCTCCTACATGACCTAATTTCTATCGATGGGTGAGTAAAAACACCTACAACAGAAAGGACAATGCCAACAACAGCCAAACTCACCATATTTAGCCCATACGTCATCGAGCTTCCCTTTGTATCCTGCAAGGTCCGCCCCGACACCTTCCACAGCCATAGCCCACGAATCGAAACATTCCCCGCAGAGCTGACAGTCTGGGAATTCCCCGATGTAGAAGAGCTGCACATACTGGAACGGATACGTAGACACTGGGGCGCAACTATCGCACGTTCTACCAATAATTCCCTCCAACGCGCAGTTGCATTGACCGGTTATGACGTCGCAGGTTGGATCAATGGCGTCATTTATTTTTATTGTGCCCTGAGCATTACAGGCGCACTCTGGGGAGTTAAAAAATGAAAAATCAGAATTAAAAAGATTTCACAACCATACAGGAAAACAAATTAACCATAGGTTATAATGTTATTAGTATTAGGCCATAATATCTCCTTTCTTGTATTTGTCGCTGAGCGTTTGCTTTGTTTATTGTAAACTTTCTCTCTCTCTTTTTTTTTTTTTTTTGGTAAGTGTTTTACGGCGCTTGCAACTGCATATGGTCATGTGAGCGCGCAGAACACATTAAACGTTTTCAGTTTGGTAGGTATTTTGAATTTTTGCCCGGGTGGCAGCCGGTGCCTAATGCATTCTTATCGATTTTAGGACCACCGAGAAATTTTTAACGTAGGCCTACGCATCTTGCACACGGGACTTCCGAGAATTGTTGCCCTTATCCAAGAAGGCTAGGTGTTAGATCTTACCTACCATAAGATCAGGGGACTGGCTGAAATACAGCAGTAAAAAGGAGCCAATGAGAAGCAGTAGAAAGGCTGCAGAAAGAGAAAGGAGCCCAGAGGAGGGGGCAAA